ACAAATTGTTATGATATTAAAATATTTAATGCATTTAAGGACCGTATTTATGAAGTATTGAAGGTAATCACTTCTGACACTCCACCTAGTTCACCACGTTCTACTTATGTTAGAATGCCCGCCCCTTTGCCGAAATTAGTCAAGATTACTATTACTGGTCTACAGTCAAAGTAATTTACATATACTAAATAATGAAGTTTGATACATACCAATACAAATTGTTTTTCTCGTTTTTGAATAAATACTTCTCTATTTCATTATATATCTATATTCAGTGTTATAATAATCAGGAATTTACCTGCCAGGTCGTACAAGCTCAAATATTATCCATAATAATATTATTATTATGGGCTGTACGACCTGGCTGGCAGGTAAATTCCTGATAGTCTTATAATCAACCCAACGTTTACATGCACAGTTACAATTTGGACTCAGATACAGAAAATTCGAGTGATCTCTTAAATGAACTGCCGTAACTGGACAAGTGGCAATGCTGCCATTGATGAGATTATCCGAAGGACTCAGCTGCAAACAAGAGACTTCTCTAAACATTGGGAATGGATTGATCCTCAACGTTTAGAGGACATCACTCATTTCAAGGATGGCGGTTTTGGCTCGGTTTATGTAGCAGTATGGAAAGATGGAGACGGAATTATAAAAATTGTGCAATAAATGAAATGACCAGATCTGGACCTATGTTAGTGATTCTTAAAACCACGCGCGACTTTGATGAATGTTCACCGGCTTTTCTTAACGAGGTAATAATATTCGGAATAATACTGTTCTATCACAAGACTAACTTGCAGAATTTCAGCTCGTAAACACATCAATTATATGTGATGCGATGCCTCGTTTTCCTTTTATTTATGGAGTAACCAAGCACTCGAACAAATTTACATTGGTGATGGAATTAGTTAATGGCGGAGACTTGCGATTCTATCTCAAAGACATTAACGAAGAGATAACTCCGTTAAATGCTCAAACGATATTGTATTCCTTTACAAATTGTCTTGCTGAGTTACATAAGATAGGCTTTGTTCACTGTAATCTTCATAGTGGAAACGTCTTGATTCGACCGTCTTTTGGCCCCCTTCCGGCAGTTAT